CCTATACTATTATATCCCCTTTATTGTTTTCCAGGCATTAAGACTCACCGAAAGTAGTTCAGCAGGTTCATTTAAGTTCAAAACATTCTAATTCAATGTTAAAGATGACAGGAATAAGAAATAGTTATATGGAGGTTTTTAAGAAATTTGCGCAAAATACGCGCCAGCATGTTATACGAAATTAGGTAAAAAACCCAAAATCGCCATATTCAGGTGCCTTAAAAACCATGTTAAAATTGAGTTAGAGATCTGAAACTTTGCAGGGCGTCTAGACCTTGTCCAAATCGACTGTAAAAAAAATTTCATGTTTCAGGAGTATCGTGTAGTGGGTTTTCTGGAACCCCTGTTTTACAACAGATTGTCGTGAAGATATATAATATGTATAGACGCTTTTTGCAGTAAATTGTAGCCTACATTTAAGTGTCCTTAGATTCAAAAGTATAAACGATACAGTCATCTCGAACCACAGGTTTTAAAGATAATCGTTTAAGCTTTAGTTTACATTGTATCGAGCGACCGATTTATTCTCGGTATCAATTTGCATTAGCGGACGGTTCCTCAAATTAATATCATTTCCTTTTGTTTCGAAAAGAGAAACACTGGCAGCGGTACACTCTACCCATGATTATGGGTTTTGGTCAAATTTAAGTTATCATGTATAACTGCACTCCTTTAATGCATGATCAATGATGAGGGTGGCGCGCAGCTGTAATGTTTAATTTTGACAAATCAGCGTATTACGGCGTAGGTATTATGGCGTATTCGTGGACGTATTTAACAATCCATAGAAATTACCGTATTACGGCGTATTACGACGTATTCTTTATTAAAACCGAATACGTCGTATTATTTCAAGAAAATTTGACGTATTTAACAACCTTGGTTGTGACGACAAAGTATTAAAGTAAGTATTAAATTAAGAACCTGTTTATTAATCAACTGGTTACCTGACCCCTAATTCTCCTTTCTTATTCAAAATAGTTAAATAGAGTTTGGTTATCTTGGACCTTTACCGATTGTTGAAATTCGCAATCCAGCGCTAGATAGCGTCATCTATACTAGCGTCATCTAGTCGCACAACAAGGTTTCTATACTGGGTTTAGATAATATTTGATCAACAACACTTACAATAAAATGGGAAAGCTTTGGAAGAACTTTCCTTGTGTTTTGAATTTTGTGACACATTGATTTTTATTTTATGTAATTTTTAAGATTTCGTTGACGGCCTGCAAATTGCAACGCATCGTTAGTGCCGAATACTGCTAGCTGCATCTCTTCATCAATTGTGTATGAATGGGAAAAGCGAGCGACCAATTTCATTATCAGTATCATTTTGTTTTTGGGTACGGGATTTTACGGGAATTTAAATTAAAATCATTTCCTTTTGTTTGGAAAAAGATGACACTGGCGACGGTCACTCAAATGATTACACACTAAATATCAAAAATAGCATACATCCTTGATGGTAACGTCTGATCAGCAAGAATCTATGCTTACAATTGCCTGAAAGAATTAAATATGGAAAATTCTGTTTCAGTGAAAGCTCACTTTCAACATATCGTACAGCAGATCACAAACACTATCAATACTTCGAATAGCAACAGCAAAAAACGCAAAATCTCAAGCTATTCCATTTCAAAACAACATTTCCTTCAATTAAACGTTTACACAACGTCACAAACATTCCATCACGTGCAACTAAACAAATAGAATTGTCTCTGTCTCTATCCTTATTCATAAACTGTTAAGCACAACATCTAATTTCTCGACAAAGCATTAAAAATATAGTACTAGTAGTCAGGAAGTAGGTAATGCAATCGGGAATAGACTTCAATGTTATTGGGTGATGGGTGATGGAACTTAAATAGTAAAATCAAAAATGATGAAAAAGGGCGGTAGCGCGAGCTAACTCGATTTGCTGGTAATTGCGAGCAGATAAGCTGTACTTGACAAACAAAAGTTTAGTTAGCAACTATATCCTAGTTTTATAGCGGTAATGTGATTATCAGCACAGTTTTAGGATGCCTATCAATTAAATGACAAAAGACATCAGCTGAAACATGTGCTGCTTCTACAGCAATCATGCATTAGATACAACGAACAATAAAGTTAAATAGTTTAAATAAAGTTTAAATGAAGAGAAAGAAAAATAGTAAAAAAAGTAAAAACAACAACTATCATTTTCACATTATTGTAGCTATGAAAACAATATTCGAAACATAATAAACTGGAGACGCGTACAATAAACTAACAAACATTTGCCTCAAGATGTAAAACTCACTTTTCAGTTCTCTAATTCCATGAACAAATAAATAATAAGTAAAAACAACAACTATCGTTCTCACATTATTGTAGCTATGAAAATAATATTCGAAACATAATAAACTGGAGACGCGTACAATAAACAAATAAAAATTTGCCTATAGATGTAAAGCTCACTTTTCATGAGATCAATTAATGGATTGATGGACAATGCAGTTTGATCATTATAGTGTTATTCTGATATTGTATTCTATGAGAAGCAGAAGGAGCTTAAAATTCTACCGATTAGATCTAAGTTCATCCATAATTCAATTACGCTCTTCTATGAAATAGTAAATAATATTCTAAACAAATTAAACATTTGCCTCAAGATGTAAAGCTCCCTTTTCATTTTCAGCCCTCTAATTTTATAAACAGCCCAACCTTCCGCTCTTTGCTGAACAATTGATTATATTTACTGTGTTCGTATTTACTGTGCAGTGTAAGTGTTTACTGTGTTAACGGGCGCATTGCAAAAAAAATAATGCTATTTATAATGTCCACGTGTTCATCATAGTTGAGTGTCTTGATTAATTGATTCTTAAAAATTATCCCCTGATCCACCACACTTGTGGCAGTCGTGTCTGCAGCTGGAACGTTACCTGAGGACGTCACGTTTTGTTGATTCGGCTGAGAAATATGAGAGATATGAGAAATATGCTGACGACACCCAGTTACTGGTATAACGCCTTCAGAATTAGTAGTAGAATTACCTATTCTACCGGTACTCCCACAAAATATAATTCTCCTTGTTAGATTTTTAACGTACTCCCCAAATCTTCTATTCGTTATGGTGTACAATATTGGGTTGCCGCAGACATTAAGATATATGAAGTGAAGAGCCACGCGTTCCATAACAGGGGATACTTTGATTCCTAGGGAACTATCGCATGATAGGTACTCAGTGGTTCCTAAATGATATAAAGAGCTGCACCTCTTTTCAGATTGAGATTTAGACATTTAGGATCCATGCGTGCATCAAGAATAGTTTTCTGTTATAATACTTTATTAGATTGACTGGGTATCCATGTAGACTGTTTCTGTATGCGGTTTCTAACCAATATTCCCATAAAAACATTAAACAGGTTTCGTCTCAGAAGGTAGACCAATAACACCAGTTTACCTTTGTCGGATTAACATACCGGAAACAACAAACTACATTACACTTGCAGGATCCTTCAAGCAGACTGGCTCTGTTAACTTGTGTTTCTTAGTACGCCGCATTGCAAACTACAGTTACAAGGCACAAATGATAGGTACTTTGTCCCGCAGCTAGATCTCCTGTACAAAGAAGGACAGAGGACGTCATCTCTGGAGCTTGTCACCAACCGAGCCCTGCTATTGTTTTAAAGACGTCTAGGGTGATATCTTAACGGGTGATACTCGTAAAATATCTGTTCTGAACTCGGCGCGCGTCCTGGTAGGTTGTAAACCTACAAGTGATATCTTGTGGTAGTTTTAGTAAAGTGGCCGCCAAAACATCTTTTATATTATTATAGGTCCTGTGAATATACACATTGCATGGATATCGTCATCGATATCACACAGTTCATCGAACAATTTGCAAACCAAAATGAGGATTCGTCTGATCGCTGGCAATTGGAACTGATTACAGTGAAGAAATTAGGTGATTATAACAATTACACAATAGGTCACAGTATTAAACAGGAATTAAACAGGAATTAAACAGGAATTAAACAGGAATTAAACAGGAATTAAACAGCATCCTGGCTTCCCAGTATGCGCTAATTGAGCATTCTGCAGAAGATTTATATGAAACAGTTTTTGAGACTTTTTTGGGAAGCAGATCTCATGGCCGTTTCTTTTATCTTTTCTTTCTGAGTTTTACGAGACACAATTCTGTCTTTTGGGAAACCTTAGAAGGTTGTTTTACGATTTTTGAGCGAAGAATTACTCTTTAATATATAAGCCTTTGTGAAGAATCCTATTGCAGGACCCTAGCTTCTCGATGTTTTTTAAATACGTCCGCAATTAATACCTTTTCATACTCCTAGATCAGTTGACAAAATATGAATGGTTATTTGCTAATAAACTTACCTACAGTTATTAACACTTCGCAAGAAATATGGTTTAGTGGTGTTGATTAACTTAGTCAGTGCGAACTTGGTTACAACTCTTCAGAAGTTTTAAGATAACCGCCCTTTACATTCGGAAGCGACAGTGTTTTTTTTCCTTTCTACTTAGCTACTAGTTAAACTAGTTTTCATATTGGTATCTGAATTATAAAAATGATGAAATTCAAATTCAAATACCTTTTGTGGTCACTCACCAGTCACCTTTGCTAGTTTGCTTGGAGCAGTGCGTTTTTCCAAACACCAACTCGGTAACTTAACTTAATAAATATTTCAAATATTTGCTACAGTACATTGACCACATCCTCCACTCTCTCTCCCCAGCAGCGAGATGTACAGCACATAATTAAGTTTTATACTGAAGTGTCTAGCCCTGCAGGTTGTATTTAATTAGCTTATAAATTAGCTTGTTAGTTGTAACATTCTGCTGCGTGACAGGTTAGTAACTGGTTGTTGTGGCTGAACACTAAACAGCACTGTATAACTTGGTAGCGAACCTTGGTTGATGGTTATTCTTATATAAATTGTGTTTTCCTTAAAATTGTTTAAATTTCTACATTTTGTTCGTTGAATAAAATCACAATACCCATAATAACTCACGTGGCATATTCAGCATGGCAAGACCAGTAACCTAACAATAAGACCGGTAACCTAACAATGGAATTCAGAGAAGAACTATACAACACTCGAGGATTCAGCTCCTTTCTCCAATACAGAAACGAACGAAAGTTCTGCGATGTCACCTTGAAAACCAATGATAAACTCCTACACGCCCACAAAATTGTTCTAGCATCCCAGAGTCCTTACTTTAACGACAAACTATTCAGCACAGAGGAGCCCATCACCCAGTTAGAGCTACCAAGTGATGTTACCACCTCAACTGTTGAATTGGTCCTGAATTTTATCTACACCGGCTCTATTGTCGTGGATTCCTTCAACTACCGGGAGATCATGATCCTGCAGAACCTGCTGGAGATTACTGATCTGTCTGACATGCTTTATAAATCGTTGAGAAAATTCGTCACCCCTCAGAATCTTAGAACGTTTATCAAATCATATTCAGACTTAACTTATATACCAAGTTTACGGGAACATTTTGATCATGTCTTCTTGCACTCGTTTGAGGGAATGGCTCAGGATTTGTTGAGTGTGGGTGCGGAACTTTTGGACGTGATCAGTTTGTTGGGTAGATCGGAGCTGAATGTGGAACAAGAATCATCAGTTCATGCATTCCTTGACAGTTGGTTATCCATCCACCAAGCTGAGGTATGTTCTGAATTGGTATCATGGACTACAAATAGAACGCTAAGTTTTGTAATAAAATAAAACGATTATTAAAGGATTATGTTGATTCATATAATGTCACTCCCTAGTCGCATTCAAAAGATCACCAGTATTACCAAACCGGAATTTGTTCACTATCACTAACCCCTAATAACGTCCGGACAGTTAACCAGTACGGATATGAATGAGGTAATGAAGTTGGTGTGGTGGCAAGATCTTTCACTTTCACTTTCACTTTCACTTTCACTTTATCTCTATCTGCAGTTAACCAGTACGGATATGAAGGAGGTAATGAAGTTGGTGTGGTGGCAAGATCTTTCACTTTCACTTTCACTTTCACTTTCACTTTATCTCTATCTGCAGTTAACCAGTACGGATATGAAGGAGGTAATGAAGTTGGTGTGGTGGCAAGATCTGGAGATGCAGTGCCTCAGCTCCATTTATTTTAACAATGGTAACGAAACTGCTGAGGTACAGAAACCACTGGCTTTGAACGCTCTTCAGCAAAATACCAAGTCAGTTTTAATACACAGGCATTCACTTTCCATAGATCAAACCTTACTTCTGATGTAATATGAATGAGACTTATACTAGTACTATCTCGGAACTAAGTCCGATCTACGCCAGATAACCCCCTCCATATATCCCTGTCCCGCATCAGGGTCCGCAGTTCTTCTTTAGAGTTTGTCCCAACTTCCTTCAGTAACATAGACAAGTAGCTTTGTTTTGGTCGGCCTTGCTGTGCTCTACCATGATACTTATACTGTTTAATGAATCAGGGATACGAAGGAGGAGACTATTGATGTAGCATGAATGATACTTATATTCCTAATCCAGTTTAATGAATCAGGGATACGAAGGAGGAAACTATTGATGTAGCATGAATGATACTTATATTCCTAATCCAGTTTAATGAATCAGGGATACGAAGGAAACCAGATATAAGAGAGCAGGACAGTACCTCAGAGCAATGTTCGCTGTTGCTAGTTACGAAGGGTCCCATATCTGGGAACTTCTCAGAGCAGACACTGTAGATCTAGAGGTTCGTCAGATGCTTATAGTAATTGTATTCCGATATTTAACATAATCACAACTTGTTCAAAACTTTCGTGAATTTCTTAAAGATACACAAACGTGAGAAATCAAAGACGATTTTTGTTTCAAAACTGAAACAAAACCTTTCAGTGGTTTGATTTGGGAGAATGTCCATTGATGAACACCGAAAAAGCAACATGTTGTTTTCTTGACGGATGGCTTTATGTTCTGGGTAACAATGGTGACCTAATCAGATACTCAGTTTACGTAAAGGTGAGATTGTAGTTCTTCAATATGTACGGTGGTTTTCACTTTCACTTTCACTTTCACTTTCACTTTCACTTTCACTTTCTCTCTTTCTGCAGAAGTGGGAGGAGTGTAGGCGGACCCCGTACTCTTTTGTTCGATGTTACGTGATGTGTACAGCAGAAAATCAGGTGGTTGTGGTTGGAGGGGACCACTCTACAGGTGACCACTTATTTTGTTTAGACCACTGACAATTTATAAATATTTTAAAATATCTTGTTGAGACTTCAGCTGCTTTTTACCACATTTTAAAAAGTGGCGTGTGATACATTTTGTACTGGTTGATCGATCATGACGTCATAAGTTCCACAATGAATGATTGATGAAGTGCCAAACCACTTTGTTTGTACCACAATTCTGGTGCACTGCACAGCTGAAACAGTGAGCATTAACGACCGACCAAACAACTGCTTTTTTTTGCGGTGAACTGTTATCAATTTTATTCAAGCAGTGAACTGATATCGAATTTATTTAAGCAGTGACACCAATATGATGCCTTGCCGAGATAGCAATTTAAATTTTAAACACCCCGCACAAGACTGGTGCAAATTTAGCCATGCTCCCAAGTCCCAACCCAAGGCTCTTATCATTCCTAGAAATATGTATACTTTCCTTTTCATGGAATGGTTCTTAAACCCTGAAACCTTCTCCGTCAGGCAGATCTGTGATACGGTACGATCAGCTGGAGGATACTTGGTACACTGGCACAGCATTACCCAGATTCTGTGATAGGTTCAGCGGTGTTCACATCAAGGATACACTCTATATCGGTAGGATACTATACAGGATTCAGTTGTTGCACTTTGAACCTAAACAAATGGCAACCAATTACTTGTCGGATGAACCAAATGATTTGATTCGTCTGGTCAACCGGATTTTTTATTGCTGATCGGTAAGGAATTTTTCACCCGTTCAACTCTTAGTCTCCACCACAGAAACCAAAACCCCTCTGACCGTAAAAGTCAGTGATTTTGACAAATAATAAACCTACTTTTCAGTGGGACAAAGCCAAAAAGAGGATATAATAGTACAGTACTACACAATAGAGACGAATACCTGGGAAGTGATAGAGGAGCCTGACCAGGGACCCTATGATGTCCCTGTCTCCGCTGCTAATAATAACAATATGGTTTATATACTGGGGGGCCAGGCTCCAACTGAAGACAGGTGGGCAACATTCCTTTGTTTTGAGGGAGAATCATGTCTTGCTCTCTTCCTCCTAATGTTTAGTTTTCGAAATGAGTAACAATTTTTATTGCAGGCCAGAAGAAGGATCCATATTGTTTAGGTTTAATCCTAGTTTTGAGAACGCAACCGTTCTCCACCCACTCCCCAGCTGCTGTATCAGTTAGTTTCTCTTTTTACTTTCACTTTCGCTTTCATTTTCACTAACCCCTAATATGAAGCTGCTGTATCAGTATTTTGTTTTTTCTTTCTTACGTTTTTATTTTGTTCTTAGTTACAGCTTCTACTTAATAATATCATCAAGTCCCTACCCCAACACTAACAACACTAACAACACTAACAACACTAACAACACTAACAACACTAACAACACTAACAACACTAGAACAACACTAACAACACTAACAACACTAACAACACTAACAACACTAACAACACTAACAACACTAACAACACTAACAACACTAACAACACTAACAACACTAACAACACTAACAACACTAACAACACTAACAACACTAACAACACTAACAACACTAACAACACTAACAACACTAACAACACTAACAACACTAACAACACTAACAACACTAACAACACTAACAACACTAACAACACTAACAACACTAACAGCACTAACAACACTAACAACACTAACAACACTAACAACACTAACAACACTAACAACACTAACAACACTAACAACACTAACAACACTAACAACAACCCACCCAGATGCAAAGCTTGTATCAGTGCAAGACAAGTTGTACAGTGTAGGAGGTATAGAGAAAGGTCTGGTTCTAGACGTGATAAACAAATACTGTCCTCTCACGGATTCCTGGTCCGTATTGGAGTGGAAGTTTCCCTGGCACACCAAAAGATTTTCTGTCACCACTCTCTCATGATGATTAATTACTATACACTCGACTGTCACGTGAATTTTTCAACTCGTTCTCTAGCTGGCCCTGAACGACTATTCGGGGGCTCTTTTAGAAAAATCTCGGAGATCGACTGTAGAGCGATTTAGCACGCTCGACCACTCTCTCATGAGACTATTTCAAGAAAATTTCTGATTTCTGATTTTTTCTGAATAGACTCAGTGATGAAAATGTTTAAATGGAGGTTGATAGGTAAATCACGTATTGATACGTATCTCTCATGAGACTGCCACAGAAATCGGGAAACTTGTTTTGTTGTTTGATTATTTGTTTGGTGGTAGAGAAACTATTTTTTCTTTTATTGATTGTTTCCTCATCTTTCAGTGAACAGCACTTAATCTACTTGTCAATCAATTGGTATATATACCAATGTTTATACAGGGTGGGCCAAAAGTCAGTGTGCAAACGTTGTGTCTTATACCTCCGCCGTGTTTTATATTTGAGAGCTGTTGCTTTGCAGATGGCATACTGTACTTACTGGTTCGAGGATTCCGTCGTCAAAATTTGAAAATTCGAATATTTTAGACCACGCCCATTCAATATTAAAACACCTATATTGTTTTCTCTGAACATGCTGAACGCCTAATTTTTTCAGAGACCGTAGATTACCAAATGTTGCATATGATCTGAAAACATGAGGCAAAACGGATTAGAAATGACGAAGTTATCAAGCATTTTGTGTATCTCGTTAACAAAATTGACTGGGTGATTATGTGACACCGTGACACGACACCTTAATTGGGCACCCTTAACAATTCCCATAATGTTTAACGGGGTAGTTAACGGGGTCACCTTATCACGTGATTAGGTAAACCAATCACCTGATCACACGTAATGAATAAACTCGTTATGCTTCATATCTCGGTCATCTGAGAAGCTACAGTTCTAATTCTTTCAGGACAAACGTAATTCGAATGGCCAAACACAATTCAATAACATTTAGCTTGATCCGACTATCCAAACTATCAAATAAATGTGAAAATGAACCTCCATTTGAAAAAAATGAACGCGAATATTTTTCGAGTTGACAAATTCCTCGAACCAGTGGTGGTACTAAGTCATACCAGAAGGAAGTATTTCAATTGGGCACTCAGTGACTGAGCAATTAAGGCCAACGTTTGCACACTGACTTTTGGCCCACCCTGTATATAAACAAAATAAGGGCACGAATGAATTGTTGATGGTTTTTATTGATTCATAATAAATTGAAATGACACAATTCAAAATGTTCGATTTATAAAAAGTCATGCTGTGAACAAATCTTTTAAATTTCCATTCCATTCCAAACGGCTGTCACCATAGGCTCAATATTATGAAACAAAATTAGGATTGCAAAGGCAGCGCCAGTCACATTTAAGCATGACATGCATTACAGTGCATACACGAGCTTATGATCAAATTATTCGAGGATCGTTTTCTGAACAGCACCTGTGGGGGGCTCATTAATGCACTAAATACCATCACCATTCCTAGCACGTTTCAATATGAACAGTAGTCCTGTAGTCACGTGGGGTGCATGCTTGTGTCTCCATGATCCATTTAATAGTTCAGTATCTCCAAAATGGTAATAAAATGGAAAAACGTCTGAAAAATGTCTATTTAACATTATGAAAACTAATTATATGATAACTGCATCTGCTTCGACTTTGTTAAAAACTCGATGCTTGTAAAATTCAATTGCACTGCTTGATGGTCGAGGAATGTATATGATTTTGTTCTTTCTTTTGAGCTGTTCAATGTACGAATTACTTTGTGAAATCATGAGTTTTTGCGTTGTTTGATTGAGCCGAAGATCCCAAAATGACGAAGATAAACTACCGGACGGAGTACAAGGCAGCAAAGCACCAAATATCCGAGCTACAGACTCAGATAGCTACACTCCGGGATCGGCTTGATGTTCTACGGAAAGCTAAAAATCAGACCATCCTAAAAACAGAAATCGTCAACAGGAACATCGCTGAACCAGTTTTCGGGCAGGCTCCAAACAGTAACGATGATGTCCTGCCGGTTGCACCAACGATTCTCACGAGAGACGTGGCTCTGAATACAGATCCGATGAAGCCACCAACCCCACCACCAGCAGCACCTCCACCCACCTCACCTACGAGAATGCAGAGAAAGCGAGTTAAAGACAACTGGTCACAATGTAAGATTTTCACTGCGACTAAAGTTTGTCAGGTCGCATTTGTACAGACGTGTCACTGTGAAGGTGTTAACGACCCAGACTCCCCAGTCCCCAAAGCAAAAACCCCGGTCAGTCTCCCCAAGATCCCCCACCCCAGTAACCACGTGGGTGTGAGGTCAGCTGTCTCCACCCCAGTCCCGGAGCTTAGAACAATCAGCAGGATGAAGACCATGGACTTTATCTCCTCCGAGAGTCATGCTGCGGAGATAGCAGCACTGGAAGCAGCTTTCAAAGCAGAAAGGGAAAAACAGATGAGCATTCACTCCCGGGAAGCAGCAGCATTGAGGAATACTATTCAAAGTATGACATCTTCTCTGAAAGCAGCGGTGGAGGAGAATGTGAAACAAACAATCAACGCACCCAATGGAGCCTCTGTGTTCCATCTGTATGCTGAGGAGAAGAAACGGATGGAAGAACAAGTAAGTGATTTCGGACCTTTACCGTTAGTCAAAATTAATTCGACATTTAGCGTCATCTAGCGTCATCTAGCGTGAAATGACGCCTGATGATGATAGATGACGCTAGATGTCGAATTTCAACTAACGGTAAAGGTCCGTGATTTCATCCTCTGCAAATTTATTTCATGTTCTGATCCGTATAGCAAAGTTATTCAATGTCATAGCAAAAGTTACTAATTTTAAAGTAATTCTTGCGTACTGATATCTAAAATTCAGGTGAGACATATCAATTTAGAGAACAACAAGTTAAAAGTCAAAGTGAAGAAGCTTACACAGGTACGTGTAGATGTAAATTTTAAATCAGTACTTTTCTTCGACTGATGGTTTTATTGTCGACTGTTGGAATTGAAAATCACATTATTGTATCATTTTTATGGCTGCATTGATTGCGGAAAGCATTGAAATAGGGTCAGATCTTATTTGTCAACGTTATGATATGTACTATCACAGGAACTAAAGGACCAGGAAGAAGAGATGGAAGTGAACGAAGAAAGCTTCAAGAAACACTACGTAGAAACTTGGGACTCCCAATACCGGTCCTGGATGACGAAGACTGAAGCAAAGATGAACTTCCTAAGAAGCTCAAATGAGAACATGCAGACATTTCTGATGAAGAATGCCAGACATCTGCCGTTTGCAGCATCTGAAGAGTTGAAGATATATAACGAGTACGGAGAGAAAGTTTCTGTTTTCCAGTGAAGTGATTTTTATATAGCAACCAATTTGTTGAGATCTCTCTTAAATTTGGGAATTTCTGAATCAAGCACGATTTGCGTATACACTATACAGACAATGAATTATTCGAGTTTTACTGAAAAATGTGTTTACTTATCATTAAAAATTGGGCGAAGTTAAATCATTGACCTTCAAACTATTCATCTTATTCTGTTAAGTAATCTTACATAAATACATTCAACATTGATCATCAAGCTCTTTCATTCATTATAGAGTCTTCAAAAATCAAAATCGTCCTGGCTGTAGATATTAGTGAATGAGAAGATCTGACGAGCAGAGCCGTCACATTTGTCAAGGAATAGTTTGGGTTTGGAAGGGTCTCCTACGGAGAGACACAGCTGCGATTCAGCGTGTATAATCTGCTGGGTCTGTAAAAAGAGTTTTTAGTGGAGGAATTCGTGGTAACCCTGGTAACCAGCACAAAATTCGTGAGTTAATACGCATGATTTCTGTAGGAACGGCAAGACATGCTTCAGATAAGAGCTAAATGTATTTGAATTAAACAAATCATCTTAATTTGGTTATTCAGATAGTTGTTTGTTCCAATGCGAATCGATATTGAATGTTGATACATGGATATTATGATTACTTACTGAACTATAATGCCACTTCTGATTTCCACCAAGGCCATGACAAGGCCACAAAGAAACTCTCTTCAAGGTTTTAGCATTAGCATCCGGGATTGAGGCGTCCAGACAGTTCTCTAGAGAAATAACCTCATACTTCTTAGAATACATCCACACCTGGCGTATTATCATTCATTATGTTTCTACAAAACGATATTCATCGAAACAAATTTCATACCTAGAACAATTTGATAATGTCAAATTAAACTACATTTGTAATCAGACAAATTCAGCTACTTTTCCTAAATGATACAGCTACTCTCTAACTCTCTGAAGAGATATCGGTCAGACAATTTATAACTGAAATGTAAAGAAAATGTGAAATAAAACAAGTGTCAGCGCTCACAAACCTGGTTGGTATATCCTGAAAAAGTGAAATAAAACAAGTGTCAGCGCTAACAAACCTGGTTGGTATATCCTGAAAAAGTGAAATAAAACAAGTGTCAGCGCTAACAAACCTGGTTGGTATATCCTGAAAAAGTGAAATAAAACAAGTGTCAGCGCTAACAAACCTGGTTGGTATATCCTGAAAAAGTGAGATAAAACAAGTTGCAAGTGTCAGCGCTAACAAACCTGGTTGGTGTATCCTGAAAAAGTGAAATAAAACAAGTGTCAGTGCTAACAAACCTGGTTGGTGTACCCGGGTTCTCGTTTAGGAAGACATCTATAGTGACTAACTGTATCATTAGCTTTCCTTTTACCAAGTGTATCTACACACTGTCCTATTTTATTGTTACGTATCTGGGGAGAGGTTGTAATTGTATCTACTAAACATTCCAAAACTTTGTCTTTTTCTCGATAATGTGGTAACTTGTTATTATATCTAGTGAAAACTGAAATTTCAATCATTGGTGGCTGCAGTATTTTTATTTTCAAGACCACCTCAGTTAATACAATTATGTAAGAACAACTTTCATATATGGAAAGAACATTGCCTCACCTGGCCTGAAGCCAGCAACTTTTTCTCAGTGGGTAACATAGGCAACAAGTTCTCCAGATACCAATCAAAGGATTTGCAGTTCAGTCTTTTCCGGAGGTTCACTCTGGAGGAGATATCTCCGATGTCTAGATCTTTAGCGAGGGGTACAAACCGATAGAACAGGTCCTTGTGGCCATCCAACCATACCTGATCAAGCAAACAGGTTATGTTGTTTGCTTGGACCGCAAAACTGTCATTTAAACCTAGAATTATCATCGTACTACCCACTATCTTATTAAAAACGTGTGCTTCTCATTACCCTAATACGTATTATACTCAAAGTAAAACGACACTTAATATTCTTATTCTTCACTGACCTCGACAGCTCTGGCATAATTCCTGTAAAGGGTTAGTATCTGGCTCTCGCCTCCAAAACTGTAAGGGGCTCTGTCCCTGAAGATGTGCCCAACTCGTGAGCACGGCATTGATAACAGACGTCCACCACACATCCAAATCTGAGGAAGATAATATGATCAATATATTGAAACACAAGGATATATTTTGAAGCTAAACCAATTGTTATGTTCGAGCAAAAGGAAAGGTTCGTAAAAAGCTAAAATTTGACATAACTCACTAGCTGAAGTAGCTCTGATACATCGGATTAGAACCTGTAAGACTGGCTTCCAGCTCGCCATTTTTGAGATTCAAGCAAATCGAGGATGTTCAAAGGGTGCAAGATGTTAAGGTCGACAAAATACCAGTGGAAACTATTTCGTAGGAACATAACTCAATTATAGCTGAAGTAGCCCTGATACATCATATTAGAACCTGTAAGACTGGCCTCCAGCTCGCCATTTTTGAGATTCCAGCAAATCGAGGATGTTCAAACGGTGCAAGATGTTCAGCTCGACAAAATACCGGTGGAAACTATTTCGTAGGCCCTAAAATGAGTCCTCCAGATCCAGTCATAGCCTCTAAAGGTTAAATATCTACATGAGTGGTCGAACAAAAAGATATGTAATATTTAATGTTAAAAATTCTCCTCAGAATTCATCTCACCCGGAAGCTCATCTCCATGTTCTCGCCACCCCAGATGTTCATGTCAGTATCATATGTTCCTATCTCCTCAAAGTAGGACCTGTCTATTGCAAACAATCCTCCTGCCATAACGGGAGCACTGAAATCAAGACGTAGTCAGAGATTTTTAAATGAGGTTACTGACTAGCTACTGATTCCAGCGGTCTTATCGTCCGGTGACGGATATATTCATTTAAGGTTTAAAAATCTGCTTTATTTTGTATTATTTTAGTATCCGAATATTAAAAGAAGATAAATGTCTTACATGAGGGGTTCTGTGAAGTTCTTTTGTTCTACTTGCTGCCAGTAGAACGTGAAACTCCAGTCAAATGCACCAACCTGAAAATTAACAGATCAGACTAACTTACAACTTATTGAGAAAAAAATTAAGTCAGTCCTGCTAATGTGAATGTTGCAAAATTTTCAACTTTGAGTGTCCTTCAAATAAAAGAGTGGAAAGAGAATTGATCGGAAAAATATCCATGTTTTAATATTTATTATCCGTAAAACTGTGAAGATCAAAAAATCCTCAAAACAGATTTCAAAACGAACCTGGGGATTTGCTTGTCTGTACTCGAAAGTATCGAACATTATTACATCTATGATAGGACTAGGTACTGTTGTTTTATCTTTCTTCACTTCGTACAGCAGCGGTTCTACCCACCCACTGTTACACTAAGAGTACGTGTTATTTTCGAAGTGAGATAATGCGAAGAAGATTGCGCATTCTATGGAACTTTTTACGATCTAATGACCGAACAAGTAAATATGCTCAATGCTACAGTTAATCCTATCCAAATCATTAAAAATCGATACCCATACAACTGATCAACTATAAACTCCACTCCAAGCTTTGAAACCCCATTAATAAAGCAACCACTCTTATCCCTGTCTCACCTCACAGTGACTGTCCAGGAATATCATAACCTCCCCCGTAGCTCTAGCTGCTCCGAACAGTCTAGCCTTTATCAAGCCACTCCTCTTTGGGAGTCGGACATGGCTCGTCTTTATCAGCTTGCTTAGCTCGTAGTCTAGCGTTTTTAGTTCACCTGGGTTAGGGTTAGGCTTAGCTCGTAGTCTAGCGTTTTTAGTTCACCTGGGTTAGGGTTAGGCTTAGCTCGTAGTCTAGCGTTTTTAGTTCACCTGGGTTAGGGTTAGGCTTAGCTCGTAGTCTAGCGTTTTTAGTTCACCTGGGTTAGGGTTAGGCTTAGCTCGTAGTCTAGCGTTTTTAGTTCACCTGGGTTAGGGTTAGGCTTAGCTCGTAGTCTAGCGTTTTTAGTTCACCTGGGTTAGGGTTAGGCTTAGCTAGCTCGTAGTCTAGCGTTTTTTAGTTCACCTGGGTTAGGGTTAGGCTTAGCTCGTAGTTTAGCGTTTTTAGTTCACCTGGGTTAGGGTTAGGCTTAGCTCGTAGTCTAGCGTTTTTAGTTCACCTGGGTTAGGGTTAGGCTTAGCTCGTAGTCTAGCGTTTTTAGTTCACCTGGGTTAGGGTTAGGCTTAGCTCGTAGTCTAGCGTTTTTAGTTCACCTGGGTTAGGGTTAGGCTTAGCTCGTAGTCTAGCGTTTTTAGTTCACCTGGGTTAGGGTTAGGCTTAGCTCGTAGTCTAGCGTTTTTAGTTCACCTGGGTTAGGGTTAGGCTTAGCTCGTAGTCTAGCGTTTTTAGTTCACCTGGGTTAGGGTTAGGCTTAGCTCGTAGTCTAGCGTTTTTAGTTCACCTGGGTTAGGGTTAGGCTTAGCTCGTAGTCTAGCGTTTTTAGTTCACCTGGGTTAGGGTTAGGCTTAGGCTTAGCTCGTAGTCTAGCGTTTTTAGTTCACCTGGGTTAGACTTAGGCTTAGCTCGTAGTCTAGCGTTTTTAGTTCACCTGGGTTAGGGTTAGGCTTAGCTCGTAGTCTAGCGTTTTTAGTTCACCTGGGTTAGGGTTAGGCTTAGGCTTAGCTCGTAGTCTAGCGTTTTTAGTTCACCTGGGTTAGGGTTAGGCTTAGCTCGTAGTCTAGCGTTTTTAGTTCACCTGGGCTAGGGTTAGGCTTAGCTCGTAGTCTAGCGTTTTTAGTTCACCTGGGTTAGGGATAGGCTTAGCTCGCAGTCTAGCGTTTTTAGTTCACCTGGGTTAGGGATAGGCTTAGCTCGTAGTCTAGCGTTTTTAGTTCACCTGGGTTAGGCCTAGGGTTAGGCTTAGCTCGTAGTCTAGCGTTTTTAGTTCACCTGGGTTAGGGATAGGCTTAGCTCGTAGTCTAGCGTTTTTAGTTCACCTGGGTTAGGGTTAGGCTTAGCTCGTAGTCTAGCGTTTTTAGTTCACCTGGGTTAGGGTTAGGCTTAGCTCGTAGTCTAGCGTTTTTAGTTCACCTGGGTTAGGGTTAGGCTTAGCTCGTAGTCTAGCGTTTTTAGTTCACCTGGGTTAGGCTTAGGCTTAGCTCGTAGTCTAGCGTTTTTAGTTCACCTGGGTTAGGGTTAGGCTTAGCTCGTAGTCTAGCGTTTTTAGTTCACCTGGGTTAGGGTTAGGCTTAGGCTTAGCTCGTAGTCTAGCGTTTTTAGTTCACCTGGGTTTCAGCAGATCAGTAGTGTTGTTAAAAGGACAATAAAGCATGCTTAGAACTTATGAAAAGGAAGCTAACACTAGTGGTAACTCCATAACTTTAGGAATTATAAAAAACTGTTTTACGAACCTGCATCACTAAAATCATCAACAAGTAAAATCTCTTTCAGTAGATGGGGAGGTGTTTTATCCAGTACGCTGTGTACAGTACGTAATAGAACCGTAAGAGCCTCGTTATGGAACACTATTATTACACTCGCTACAGGTAAGTTGTGGGGGTACATTAGATCCGCACATCTGAGGGGAGGAGAGGGGTTATGGAACTTTCTCGAAAGATAGTACATGTCTTTTACCTGTTTTTACGATAGAGGCCGTGAAAATAACATGAGTATAAATTCCGAATAAAGAAAAATAAATTCTTCATGTCGCACGGTGACTATGCAATATACATGTAACCTTAATGTAAGGTTCAACTCACCCTTCAGACCGCGTGTCAGGTATCTCTCTATTAAGCGGAGTCTGATCGCTCTTAAAGGAGTTAAACCGATGTTTCTTCATCGCCAGATCCGTCAGACTCTTTCTCTCTTTCAAAGCAACATGACGCTTATAAAACGGACCATACACAGGAGTAGCATCAGATACCCCCATATACGACAGCTCAAAATAGTCAAAGTTAAACAGGCTGACATATAGCACGTAGAACACTGCCCACGTGGAGATAACGTAGCCTACACCCCACAACAACTTACCATGAGTCTTAACAAGGGGCTTCAAGTGAGCTGAATAATGTTTGGTTAATATCCCGTATTGTTTCTTTACAAGTACTCGCACAGGTCTCAACTGATCGTTGTTGGTGTGCTTTATAAGCAGTCTCCATAGAAACTGCCAGAGGATGGAACACTGCATGACTAGGATCACTCGGAGAGCCCTACAGATCACTGTTAGATCCCCCACCGCCTTCTTAGCTTCTTCCAGCTGCTTCCCATCCAGAACATTAGATACGTGATCAGTAAGCTCATCTGATCCTGCGGGTTTTGTTCTGATTTCCTGGTCCTCACGCTCTGTTCCTCTTTGCTCCTGGTATTGTTCTTGGTACTGTTCTTCAGAGGGCATCTGAGCGGGTATTTGCGCGGGTTCGGCTGCATCCTCTGCTGTGATGATCTCTATGCTGTCCGGGGAGTCAGGTGAGAGTTCGTCTCCGTGCGATGAGAGCTCCTCATCAGGAACATCTGATCCTTCTAACATGAGGAGCTGTGAGGGGCACTGTGGTGTGGGTCTTAGAGACTAGGAGACTAGGAGAGCTGTGCTGGTTACCAGGGTTTCAGAGTCTGTCGTCCCTACTGTGTTCTTTTAGCTCTCGACCCTAGCTAAGCCTGGTAGTGAAGGTATTGAACAGGACAATTCACATATGTATGAAAAAGTATCACAATTAGCAGAAATACAGGATGGTCGATGTGATAGAACACAATATCTAAACCACGTCAACAGAGCGATCAATCCTGACTAAGTGATCACGTGTCAAATATAACAATTTTAAGGGCTACCGTGCCAAAAATTCTATTGTATCAAAAATAACTGAAAACCTAAAAAATACAAAAATCTGAGCTACTCCCATCTTAAATATCAAGAAGTCCACATATCACCGAGTACAATACATTCTAAAGCTGTAATAGTTCCCTCCCTCGCCAGGTCGGTACGTCGTTCCATGATGGTGATGTGGGGTCCGCAACGTATAATAATGTACGCTGTGTACATGTGGTGTGTTGCTAGGTAACCTGTACATGATCACGTGGTTACCTGTACATGGTCACGTGTGTTGCTGGGTTGTATCGTCAGGTTTGGGTGTACATTCGGTGTGGTGGTATGATTATCAAGGTTAGAGTTTTATTTTGAATTAGAGTTAATCGAGCAATTTCCAATAGTAGAGTTTAGACAATAATTATTGATTGATGACTCATTCGTGGCTGAACATTTGACTGATCACTGAGACTGAAGATTTTTTCTAGAGGTTGAATAATGCTGATTGCATCGGTGATTGCTTGACAGCCCTTTGATGAGCGAATTCGAATAGAATTATTTTGCTCTGAATTACCTCACAGTAAGAGATACTGTTGTAATTCAGAGTGGTGCATCTTCAATGGACGCCATTAGATGCCCGTCTCTGTTTCAGTTGACAAAAATAATTATTCTTTAATTCTTTGAGAAGGACGTAAGAAATCTGTACTATTTGGAGCTGAAGAAACTGCTAGAGAAGATGTGGAAGCGATTGCTTCAGGATGTTTAGAAATTTGTTCAATATTCGAATTTTCCGACAAATTTTGTTTTTTTAAGCATCACTATCGCTATCATTTAGTTTCAGTTCTTGCAAACGATAAAATCGAAAAGGCGATTATTTTAAAGAAAGAGAACATAGTCACATAGTCACAAAAATCATCAAAAACCGCATCACCAATCTCAACTTTAATTAAAAAACAATGGTAACAGTCCATAACCACAGTATCAGTTCAGAACATTAGAAATAGAGTGATTCTCTATGTGATTCTCTATGTGATTACCAGGTGATTACCAGGTGATTACCATGTGATTACCTCCCCACAGTATCAGTTCAGAACATTAGAAATAGACACATTCTCTATGACCCCGCTCCTCGAATTAGACCTCCTCCTATTATACGTCACCAGAGTCTCCGACACAGCCTTCTCCCTACAAAACCACACGCCACAACACAGGATCTTAGCGTTGTGGTGAAGCGTGTACACCAGCGGATCAAACACCAGGTTCAAGTAGAACATAACAAAGGTGAAGTACCTGACGTAGATATCAACAGTAACCCCTGTAACGCCAGGGTGGATGAGGACCTGGGTTACCAGCTGGGGAACCAGGAGATGAAATACAGGCTGACTAGCAGGCTGATGTTTATGAAGATCCGCTTCCTGCTCGGAGTCTTGGTGGTGGACATGTTGTTGTGGGATTGGGTGCTTTTCATTCTGGTGCGGATTTCTTTGAGGATTTTAACGTACAGACAGGCTGTTACCTGAAGCAGAGTGGAGTATATTACTGATATTACTAATATTACTAATATTAGTAATATTAGTTCGGTTTTTTAATAATGATATGACAACGGAGATTTACTAAGTATGTTCTGAGATGAGCACTTGCTGTCTTATGAAGTAAAATTGAATTACAAAGATTTTGACATCCCTTATAATTGGAGAATCAGGTGTTGTCTCCAATGGCAGTAAGTGACGAAATTGTAAACTTACGAGAAAAGGCAGGACGAAGAAAATGGCATTAGTCGCCAATATGTAAGTTTAAACTTACGAGAAAAGGTAGGACGAAGAAAATGGCATTAGTCGCCAATATGTAAGTTTAAACTTACGAGAAAAGGTAGGACGAAGAAGATGGCATTAGTCGCCAATATGTAAGTTTAAACTCACGAGAAAAGGTAGGACGAAGAAGATGGCATTAGTCGCCAATATGTAAGTTTCCCCAAAATCCGTCGTCGAAAGAGAGCATCTACCAGCTAGGATATAACTTTTATCACTTTTAATTGTTTAAAATAAAGACCTTACAGTCTTCATGATAAAGGACTTTATTACTTCAAAGCATCTTAATTTAATTATGCGAAAAGGATCCGAACTAAAAGATTGAATTGCATAGAATTATTGGTCACCAAAGCCTGAAAATTGCATTTATGTCAATATTTGTATTAATCTCTGAAGGGTTACCTCTGTTATCAAATCTTAAGTCGATGACGTCAGAGAAGGCTGACAGGCAGGATGTTATCACTATGAAAGCAATACATGTCACCCAAACGAATATGACCTGAAATTTGCATGCTGTGCTAAACACAGTTTGAAACATTTCCTTGTGATTATAATTTCTTAATTAATCAGTCAATAAATGTTTGGAAAATTACTTACTACGGATATTCTTTCTGGATATGTTCCATTGAATCCTAAGATAAACACCCCCCTCAGGCCTGAATATCTCCCCACAAACCATGATAACACTCATCCTAAAGGTCATCTTGCTCCTGTAGTTGTGAGGTGATATAATAGCCACGTGGTGTGAAGTCATGACACGTGGTGTGACGTCATGACACGTGGTGTGACGTCATGACACGTGGTGTGACGTCATGACACGTGGTGTGACGTCATGACACGTGGTATGACGTCATGACACGTGGTGTGACGTCATGACACGTGGTGTGGCGTCATGACACGTGGTGTGACGTCATGACACGTGGTGTGACGTCATGACACGTGGTGTGAACACCCCCCCCCCCCCCCCCCCTCAGGCCCGAATATCTCCCCACAAACCATAATAACACTCATCCTAAAGGTCATCTTGCTCCTGTAGTTGTGAGGCGATATAATGGCAGCTGCTCTGTTAACCGTTATCATTGCTACTGTGAGGGAGGAGGCGTAGGAGAGCCCAGGGATCAACAAGGCAACAACCTGATGATTAGGGTAATTAGGGTTATTAGGGTAATTAGGGGGATTAGTGAGGCGACACATCTGTGGCAGGGAGAATTAGAGTTTGTTAGTATTGCGTGAAGGTTGTGAATTTTAAAATCATTAGAATTATCAAGTATCAACAGTCTGTGTCCCGGAAGTGCATATATTTACAACTTGACAATTTTGAAGAGACCATACCTTACCTTGTTGCTAGGTAACCTGTACATACCTTGCACAGTCCTTCCAGTAGAGGATCGAGCTGGAAGAAGCCAGTAACAACCATGGCGGGACCCCTGAGGGACACCCCAACTATGGCTAACAGTAGGTCAAACACTGCTAGGTTTAGAACCAGGACATTGAACGAACCTGGGGAGGGGTAGGTTATACAAGGGGAGGGGTTTTAATGTTTAATTCTTTAGCTTTTTGGATTTTCCGTTTTTTGATATATTTTTGATATATTACTAGGTTTTGTACTAACTGTTTTTATATTTATAAATTAAAAGGACCTATTTAAAGAAACACAAACCTTCTCGTTTAAGACTCCTTGTAACAATAACAATAACAAGTAAGTTGAGCACGACTGCAGCGGCAGATAGGGATATCAAAATCCATCCCGCCACTATACCAATGTTGTTCATGTTTATCTGTGTGCGTTAGTGCAAATGTTTAGAAATATGTGAAGAATAATGTTAAGGATGCAGTTCTTCTGGCTTTATCAGAGGGGAAAATCACAGAAAAAGACAAGAAACTCATTACTGGACTTAATGAAAATAATAACCAAATGCATGCACATGTATTCAAACCAGTAGTCCCTTGTGTGTACCCTTTATTTAAGCTGCATAAATTAAGTCCACAACAGATTGAGGGTAAAATAGTTCCCCCTACCAGGCTTGTCCATGCCACTAAGGAAGGCCCCCTTTACAGGCTAGAAAAGTGGGTTAGCCCATACCTAACAGATGTAAGTAGGATTTATTGCCAACAGGAGTTTCTCCTGGATACACCAGACCTTCTCAGTAACATAAAAAACCTTAATGAATCTGCAGACATGTCAAAATATAGCACCATCAACTTGTTTACTTTAGACGTGATCAGTCTGTATCCAAGCATAAAACCTGAAATAGCTATGTCTGCATTGGAACATGCCCTGAACGGTAGTACTATGATTGATAAACGAAAGGCTATTCTGAAAACATTCACGGAGACTATCTTCACAAACTCCTTTGTCACTTTTCAAGAAAATGTGTACACAGGCAAAAAGGGTATCCCAACTGGAAATTGTATTTCGCGTCAAGTCGCTGATATCATGCTTCATTGGGTGCTATTCATCAACATCTGGCCTGAAATGATACAGCTATGGAGTCTTATTTTATTCTGGCGACGCTTCATCGACGATGTCTTTGGAATTTGGAAGGGCTCCAGGAGGCAATTTGATCTTTTTGTGTCGAAACTAAATGAAGCCGCAAAACGATTTGGAATTCAGTTCGGTGATTGTCAGTTTGGCAAATCAGTTAACTACTTGGATGTAGAACCCTCCCTGGGGGAGAACAACAACATCGACTACAGACTATTTAAGAAAGAGACTGATGCCAGGCTTTACCTTAATACTGATAGTTTCCACCCAAACCACGTCTTTAAATCAGTAGTATTCTCACAGATGATCCGAGTGATCAAGCGAAATTCGCAGGATCACACCTGTGTGGAGGACCTGGAGGAACTTAAAGAAGACCTAATGAAAAGTGGACACAAGGAGGGGACCTTAACGGAAACAGAGCCTGAAGCAGTCTTGAGGTCAATAGAACACGATTTGTATGAGAGGGAAGAAAAGAAGCCAATCACTGACAAAGTTGTCTTTTCAGTGAAATTTTTCAAAGAGGTCACTGAACTTAGGAAGTTGGTACACTCTACTAGTGAGGACATCAAACAATTATGCGGAGACGTACAGATATTGTTTGCACTACGTAAACAGCCATCTATAGGCAACACAGTAGTGCGCAATAGAAAACTCAGTTCGTGCTCCGAAACGGATTCTTTCACCGTAAGCCAAAACTGTGGGGGGAGAGGCTGTGCAACCTGTCCCCAACTGTTCAACTCCAACGAAGTTATCACTGTCAATGGTTTGGATTTAACTCTGGATTTCCGGTTGACATGTAAGGACAGCAATATAATTTATGTCGCCCAATGCCAAATTTGTAATAAACTTCCCCAGAGCCTAAAAGACGATACCTATTTCGGCCAAACGGTTTCTCCATTTCATATCAGAATGAATGGACACAGAAACAAGTTTAAAATTGATAATGAATTGTCATTTGAGAAGTCGGCACTTTCCATGCATTGTTTTCTAGCGCATAAATCTG